ACAACATTCATTGTTTGTTGTTTGAAAATGGTTTGATGGTGCTAACTCGCAAGTAGGTAAGGCGTGGATTTGCCACCCTCGGTGGGCTTAGAAAACATGATTTTGCCACTATCTTAAGCGATGTTGCGTCCACAGCCAAAACCAGAGCAATTATAGAAATCCCATGCATGATCCTAATTATTACAAGAATGCCTAATCAACACATGCAAAATGACTATAGCAGGCTCGGCTTTCTAAACATGGCATATGAGAGCAACAGCTAACAAGTATTTCAACTTTGAAATTTGAAATACAAATGCTTAGTATGATGCGCGCGACCCGGTGCATGCAAAACAGATGAATGAATGGCAACATGTGTTCATACTGATTATGCTAATTGAACATGCCCAATCTAACCATCATAAGCGGGTAATAAAAGGAGAATGACGTTGGGTGTTGGAAAACATACATCACACACACGGCACACTTTATTACAGTTGTGCCTCTCGCGATAGAGTCCGAATAAGATAATATATACAGTCCCGAATGAAAATAAATACAGTCCGAATAAATACAAAAAAATCCGTAATTAAATTAACCATATTAAGAAACTTAAACATGGCGTGCAAGCCAGGACTGCCTCGATCTCTGATGACATGATGTATGTTTGGGTCGTCTTGCGCGGGAAATCCACTGGGATGCCCCCAAATTAGCCTCTGTTTACATTATTCTTGGAAAACGTGCGCAAGCTCCGGAAGGTGCTATCTCTGAGTTGCGCTTTTTTGCTGTAACAGAGAGCAGGAAAGGGGCATGGCAATGTATTTTCACAAATGTATGCATGCCTCGATCCTCGTGCCACCAATCACGCATATCGATGCATGATGGCCGAGGAATCGATTTGCATTACTCAATATAGAATGAATGCACACATAAACACAACAAAAACCTAACTCCATCATGGATAATCCGGAATGTTGGTTACTGGGGAATTGAGACACGTTCCGTCACTCGGAGTACGAAATGTACCTCGTTTCCCGTGCTCGGGCTAACTCCTATCCCAAGCACAATGCAATATGCATGACATGCATGAATGCAACTAATATACAACCTAGCATGCACAATTCTATAAAATGGCATACACGATGCACGAGGTAACATGGCATACACAATGCGCTAACATACAACCCAGCATACACAATGCTATGAAATGAAATGGCATACACAATGCACAATGGACTTACACCAACACAAGTGGACCTCGGCCACACTCACATAAGAGGCCATTAGATGAAAATGAGACAACTCGAGATGCGTGCACGCAAACTGAGGATCGACCCTAAGGCACGAAATGCCACTCTAACAAGACATGACAAAGCATGGAAAATGGCATACTAGCATGCAAATTTCAGGGGCAATAAGTGATGCAAAACAGCCCCGAAAGATGACAAAATGACACCCGATGCATGAAATGAGAGCCGAAATGCAAAACTAGGCATACGCAATGACCTATAGCTATACCAAGGATGCATTATTTGAACATAGAATGTAAATATATAGTCAATAAAGCCCAAAAATAATCACATTTACAGTTCTAAGCAAGGTCAAACAGTGAATGCAAATGGGGCTAAACTAGCATGCAAAAATGGCTCTAAATGTGAGATAAAGAAGCAAGTCACAGCTTCTGACCCCAAACAAGAGAGGGCCCTTCAACAATGTTGAAGAGGGACCCAAAACATGGAATTTTACATTTTATGATCAAACCCAAAACAGTGCACAAGCATGCTCAAAATGCTATGCAAAATAAGGCCAAAAGGAGAGCTATAACACAAAGTACAAAAAGGATGCCTCAAATAGTAAAAGACCCTTAATGAAACATGAAGAGGGGGTCAAAATAGGGTCATTTATAGTTCGGACCAGAGCCCAAAAACAGAAGCATAAGAGGCTAAAAAATCATGCAAAAATGGAGCCAAAAGAGAGATACAAAGGCAAGTGGCAAATGGAAGTCTCAAACAGTGATGATCCCTTCAACAATGTTGAAGAAGGGCTCAAAATAAGATACTTTACAGTTTATGACATGCCTCAAAACAATTTATACGCAGGTCAAAAATACTACACAAGAAAATGGCATACAAGGGAGCTAATGAAGCAAGTGCAACAAGGAGGCCTCAAACAGGGAGAGGCCCTTAAATAAACATGAAAAATACCTCAAAATAATGCTATCGCCAGTTAGGGTCGGAGTCCAAAACAACAAGCAAGTATGGCTAATGTATTGAACAAAATAAAGCACAAAAAAGGAGAATAGGGACTCACCCTTGAAAACTAATCTTTGACAGCCTCTTGGCTTGAGTTTGGTGGCTCCTTAGCTCTGGAAAACAGTTTCAAGTGGCTGCAATGGAGGTTGGAGGTATGGTGCTAGGTGGTGGTGTAGAAAGGGGTGTAGGAACTTAAAGGTTTGGAGGGTTGAAGTGTAGAGAGAGGGAGATGCAATGCAAGGGGCTTAAGGAAAATGTTGTAACCCTCAAACATACAGCTGGAGGGCCTATTATATAGGAAAAAGAGGGGGGGAAAAGGGAGGGGGGGAAATGGAGGGAAATGAAGCCAAGTTTCCCTCCAAAAGTTGGCCCCCCCGGATACAGAATTTGGGGGGAAAAGGAGGGTGTATCTGCACTGTACTTGATCCAAGGATTCTGGCCGGCCAGTTATCTAGGGTTTAGGTGGCCGGCCGGCTACCTCCCATGGCCGGTCGGCTAGGGGTCAAAAGGGTCAAGAAGCATTAGTGGCCGGCCACCCCAAAAATAGAGCCTCTGATGTGTGCACAACACAACCAAGTGGTTAGAAACTGGAGACAATGAACCAGGAGAGAGAACAACCCAATTTTCAAAGGGGTTCAAAAGGTTCAAAAGAAATTACTAGCCGGCCACGAAATATTAGTGGCCTCCCAGATGTGTACATCACAAATATGGGGTTTAGGGTGCAAGAAAAAGGCCCAAGGGTGGTCAACATTGGCTTTGAAGTGAGGAAAAACGGGCGACGGAGGGTGATGGAGGAATAAAACTAGTTGTCTGAATAATTGTTGGCCTCCCGCCCTTCTACGACCTTCTTACCAATGAAACAGAGGTCCCTGCCAAAAACGAACCAAAACCGATGCAAAATGAAGGTTCGGGGGCCAAAACGCGCAGTTTGGGGCCCCGAAAGTGGGCTGTTAGGCACCAGAAGTGGTGTCCGACCACGAAGTTGGTCTCTCGGACCACAGTGTCCCTCAAAAGGGAGTAAATAAGATGTATGCCGAAAATCGAAGCGAACGGAGGTGGTTAAGCGGTCCCGAACCGAGGCACACGGCCAACGGCTCCGAAAAATCGAAAACCGGACTCTAAACGGGCAAAATGGCCTACGACCACGAAACGTAGCCTACGGCCACTGAGAGATGATCTACGAGACCTCTCCCTCCCTTCGGGAAGAGAAAACAAAGAAAACAGAGCCTGGTTCGGAAATCGAGGCAAAGCACGCAAGAGTCCGGAAGTCTGGAGGCAAGGCTTGCGGCCAAGACTCTGAACTCTCTAAACGAGCACGATATGCAACATCACCAAGCGCTCAATCGGTGACATCTGAGTCTTAAGGTCGGTCAAAAATGGGGTGTCTACAGCCCCATACTAGTTAAATTTTAATTTGATATAACAATAACTGAAGCGAATTAAATTTTAATTTGATATAACAATAACCGAAGCGAATTGAATCAAACCAAACTAAACATTGTGTCTGAATCAAGTGTGGTCGGCCAATCAAGGCTATATACTCAAAAGTAAATAAATTCATCTTTCTTTCTTTTTTTTACTACTGAATCTAATCTAACCATATGTTAATGTTGAATCATCATATATTTTGCTGAAATTTTAAGCATACAAATCCAGGAGATACATGCATTATAAACCCCCAAAACAAAACAAAACAAAACAAAAATTTCAAATGAAAAATACCCATGAAAGCAATGGATTAAAAAGGGAATAATTGAAAAGCACCTTTCTGGGTTTGAAGAAGATTTCGACCCGTTAAAGATCTACCCCCAAATATATCATCTGTATTACACAAACTGACATGTAAAAATTACTATTATTACAATAGATATACATATATAGAAAGATAAGTATTGGGTTTTGCATACCTAAAATAAAAAAGGAAGCAGATGCAGATGCAGACACATAGAGGCTGGTCAAAAGGAACAAGAAGACAAGTAAAAAGAGAGTCCCTTATGTGTATTTAAAAAGTAATCAAATTGGCACAAATTAGATAGAATATCGCAAATTAGCACTCAAGATTTAAGAGCTAATGATCTTACCTTGTGAAGTTGCTGAACAACCTCCTATTGGTCATTTTTCACCAGATATTTGAAACCATTCATCAAATGTTTCAGCTGAGCTAAATATCTCAAGCAAGAGAATTACAGAGAAGAGAAATCTAAAAAGAACACAGGGATCTATATATATATACACACAAATTGAAACATTGTTTTGATAGATTACAAAGATTAACAAACAAAATGAATGAGAAAGTCAATTATCAGAACACATGGCCACTATGATCTTGAACATCGTAAATTAGCACTCAAGATTTAAGAGCTAATGATCTTACCTTCTGAAGTTGCTGAACAACCTCCTGTTGGTCATTTTTCACCAGATATTTGAAACCATTCATCAAATGTTTCAGCTGAGCTAAATATCTCAAGCAAGAGAATTACAGAGAAGAGAAATCTAAAAAGAACACAGGAATCTATATATATATACACAAATTGAAACATTATTTTGATAGATTACAAAGATTAACAAACAAAATGAATGAGAAAGTCAATTATCAAAACACATGGCCACTATGATCTTGACCGATATCACAAAGCATCAAATCAAAAGAACTCACCTGAATTTTGTATATATATATAGTATTCGTTGGGATGGCCAACAAACAGAGTTGCGTCTGGTGGTTCTTTGCTTGGGTATGTAAGTTCCAAAAACTACTCAGATATCTTCAATACATGCACATATATATATATATATATACTATTCACTTAGCTACAGTGAATCCTATTTTTGGAACAGTTAGTTGCAAAACCAAGTGTTGTGGTATCTTTATGAATACTTCATAAACTTTTTTTTGACTTTATACTGGTGGCTCGCCTAAAGCAAAAAAGATCAGATACTACGCACGATGCAACATTTCCCACCTAAAATCCAAGCAAATGATTGAAAATCTAATTTGCAAGCATGGGAAAAACAAACCCACATCTAAAATTTTGAAATATGTACTAAAAATTTGCATAAAATTTCTGAAACCCAATTCACTAAAATTTCTGAAATGTTTAAAAAATAGAATGCATAAATAATCTTTTTCAAGAACAAAATGGGAAAAAGAAACAAAAGTTCTTTCGTTAAAGAATCCATCTTCCAACCAGAACAATACTGGTACATTACAACAGCTACCAGTTTACTTTTAAACAAAAAATAAGCCTTCCCAATTTAGCCATCACCGTTCAAACCATTAGGAAAAATATTTTGAATAAAGCAACTAAAATTTGTAATTTTGGATTACTTACCAACAGATCCTGAGACAAAGCTAAGGTAGTCCTCCAGTATCAACCTTCTATCAAATCCTGGCAGAGGAATAAAATAACCAACACAACTGAAAATAAATTCATAGAAATAAAGACCATGTATTCTTCAAATCATTCAAAGTCATGTTAAAGTAGTACCTTCAAAGTCAAGTAAACCCTAACAATGTGGGAAGACAAGTCAATCTGCATCAATTATCAACATATTAGCGTGACATTCAGAAACACCAAGCATGTGCTTTAACTTCATAGTGAAATCTAATGAACAAAAATGGACAATTCATTGAAACACTAATCAGCTAAATACCAGCGTAGGGTCAATAACTTCCTTATGATCAATTAATAATAGGTGTCACCAATAAAACTCAGTTAATATAAAGAAGTATACAAACTATGTTACATACATACCTACATAAGGTTTAGAACAGTAAACATATGACAATAAAATCTAAAGGCCTGCTTAGTTATCCCATAAAATGTTCATATTTTATCTTTAAACCAGTAAAAGAGAAATCCATTGTGAAAAAAAAAAAAAAAAAGTGGCAGCATATCAGGATTCCTGATGATATTTCATCAAATTAAGAGGCAGTGCATATGACCATAACATGATACCCAACCTTAAGTACTCAATACATTTCATCAAATTAATAAGTTCTATGCAAACAAATGGCGAATGATAAGTACTAAATGGAATGGTGAATGATAAGTACTAGTTGGAGCAAACATAATATCTACTACAACATATTTTCACATTGACAAGCTTGTCAACTAGAGAGAAGAAATATATTAACTTGCATCAAAAGGAACTAGAAAGTAAACTCATCAGCATTTTACTTTTTATGCTGAAGAATCCATCTGCATCAGCAACAATAGTAGGCTTTGATGCTCTAACAACCATTATAGCCCCCTCGACATGATTAATGTTTAAAGTCCCTATATGCACAAACAACATAACTCAATTACATTTTCGGTTGAAAGAAGTTTACAAATCCAGAACTCCACATTCAAGTTTACAAATACAAAATATTAAAAGCCTGAATTGTACTCATGGGGCTGAAGTTGCTTGTCCCAGGCTTTTTCTACCAACTCCTTCTATTTTTGAGACAACAAATAAAGATCCAACTACACTAGCATAGAGAGATTACCCATTAATAATAAATTCATACTATTATGAACAAAATACCAATAGAAAATCAATCACACACCAAACTAAATAGTAAATTCACAAATCACTGACCTTATTAGCATCTGGAAGAACAAGGGTTATCCACCCACCATTAATTGCCACAGCAACTACAATATTTATACTGCTATTATAAGTAAAACTCTTCCCATCTTTACACGCAGTATTCACAACTTGGTGCTTGTAGACACCCTATTTTTGACCGTCCTCAAGACTTGGACGTCATCGTTTGAACACCCAATGATCATCCATGTTCGTGTTCGTTTTGAGTTCCCGGAGGTATTGGTCGTGCGCCTTGCCTCAGGATCTCTTAACTTGTCTGTTCTGTGCTTGGTTTTGCACCAAGGGCTTGTGTTTTGTGCTTCTGAGGGTGGGAAGAGGCTTGTTAGCCATCCCTGAAACCCACCGGTTGTGGCATGATGCCACCGGCCTTGATTTTTTTTCTACCGACCAAATGTTTGGTCGGTCGATATTCTCTTAGGTGTATCAGCCTTTTTGTGTGGTTAGCCGACCAATTATTTGGCTGATGGACTCCTTTTCTGGCCGATACTTCCTTTTCGCCTTTTTCAGGCATGGTGCATGCCAGCTGTGCCAGCTGGAGTGCATGGACTTGTCCTCCATACACGTGTATAGAGGATTTGCCCCTTTTGCACCCTTTTGTTCTAAGCTTCTTGGAGAAGCTTGCACCCTTTGCTCAAGCTTCTTGAGGAAGCTTGACCCTTTGTCTTAGCTTCCTCAAGAAGCTTGGACCTTTGAGTTAGCTTCTCTTAGAAGCTTGACCTCCTTGACCCTTTTGCCTTAGCTTCTTTAAGAAGCTTAGGCCTTTGCCTTCCTCTATAAAAGGAAGGCTTCCTTATCCTTTGAAGAGGTTCAGCAAATCAGAGTTATATAGCATATATACACCACTCTCTCTCTATATCTCCTTCTCTCTCTCTTCATTTGTGTGTCTTAGAGGGCCTAAAAGGGTGTTTTGTTCTTAATTTTGCACTAAGACACCTAGTATTACACCATACTTGGGTTATTGGGGTCTTGAGAGTTTGTTCTTGGAGTTTTGAGTTGATTTTGATCAGAATAAGGGGCCTGAGGTTGCTGTTCTTCAAGTGTTCTTCAAGGGTGAGCATAGCTACTTTATATTCCCCATTCTTGCACTAGCTTTTAACCCACTTTGCATGCTATTTTGAGCTTTGTGTATAACTGATAAAAACTCTGATTTTTCATGCTTAAGATGTTTCATTAAAGTCTCTTTTGTGTTTGGGGTCGACCTCCTCCTCTTAGGCCTTGTTTGGCCCCTTTTGTGCCTTCTTTGGTTGAGCTTTGAATACTTTTGTGCATTGGCCTTCTCACCACTGAAATCTAGAGGATTTTCAGTGGTGAAGAGGCTATTTCAGTGATTTGGAATCACTTATTATGCCATTTCAGTCCTTGTTTTGTGCTTACATGCTTGCATTTGCTACCCTTTCAATGCCTTGAAGAGATGTGATCTTATGCTCCATGTTAGGGCCTTGGTGTATGCCTATGTGTTTGAGGCTTTGGGCTGCCATATCAGTGGATTTTGGGGTGCATTTTGATATATTATAACTCTATTTTTCATCACATAATCCATACCATGTTTGGTTGGGGTGGTTGTAGTAGAGTGCCCCCCTTGTGGCTTTGAATGCCCTTTGTTTTGGACCCATTTCTTGGCATGTTTTGATCATGTTCTATGCATGCTTTAGTCTTGTTTTGGAGTGCCCTAGGACTGTTTTTAGTCATTTTGGTCCTTTGGGGTTTGGTTGTCATAGCTATGGTTTGAACCCCCTTTGTTGGCCTCAAGTTTGGGGCCCTATTGCATGCCTTGCATGTTTTGTTTAAGTTGGTGTAGACACCCTATTTTTGACCGTCCTCAAGACTTGGACGTCACCGCGTGAACACTCGGTGATCATCCATGTTTGTGTTCGTCTTGAGTTCTCGGAGGCCTCGGCTGCACGCCTTGCCTCAGAATCTCTCGACTCGACTGTTTTGTGTCTGGTTTTGCACCAAACACTTGTGTTTTTGCTTTGGAGGGCAGGGAATGGCTTGTTGGTCATCCCCACACTCCACCGGCCATGGCTTGAGGCCACCGGCTGTGTTTTGCTTCTACCGGCCAAATATTTGGCCGGCCGGCACTATAGATGGCCGGCCGGCTATCATTTTTTGGTCAATTGCATTTTTGGCTGGCCGACCACTGTTCATCTGCTTTTGCAGATATTTTTGTGCCAGCTGTGATAGCTGGCACCCACTCTGCTCCACGTGTATGGAGGGATTTCTCTCTTGGATGGCTTGTTTTGGAAGCCTTATAAGAGGAAATTCCTATAAAAGGGAGGCTCTTCTCCCTTCTCTAGGTTAGATAATTTAGACAGCATTTTCAGAGGGTTTTGAGTTTTAGGGTTAGGGTTCATATATCCTCCATCTCTATTTCTCCCTCTCTTTAGCTCTAAGTGTGTGTTTTAGTCTTATTATTGCACACAAACACATAGTATCACACCTTTTCTTGGTTGCTGAGTGCCAGAGGAGTGTTCTTGGAGTTCTTGGAGCTGGTTTGGAGCCAAAGAAGATGCTGGAGCTTCATTTGTGAAGAGGGTCTACAAGGGTAAGAAACTTGTCCCTTTATTTCCCGTTTTTGCATTGCATTTTTGCCTACCTTGCATCTATTTTCGAGCTTTGTGTATAACATATAAAAGTTCTGATTTTTAGTGCTCTAAATAGTTTGTTAAGGGTGTTTTAAGCTTTGAGGTTGTTTGACCCCTCTTAAGGCTTGTTTAGCCCCATTTTGTGCTTTTTTTGGTGAGCTCCGAGACCATACTGTTCGGGCCTCCTCACCACTGAAATTCCTCAAATCTTGAGGGATTTCAGTGGTGAGGATGGTGCCTTGAGGTCACAAGAAGGAGAGGGCCACCCCCTCTCCTTATTGTCCTTGAAAAGGGCCATTTTTAGCCTCTTGAGGGAGCATATAGTTTGAATATGTATTGACTATGCCTTGACTGATTTTCAGGTTTATTATGTCATAATATAGCATTGTTGTATGTTGGTTTTGGTACACCATGCTTGTCTAGCATACATACCTTGTAATGCCATGATTTGCCTCAATACGTGCATAGCATTTAGGCTACCATGCTTTTGTGTTTTGGCCAAGCTTTGTGAAGCTTATATGCATATTTTGATGTGCTAAGGGACTGTTTTAAGTCATTTGAGTCATCCATGCCTTGCTTTGTATAGCTACCATGTAATCCCTCTTGTATGCCTTAAGCTTTAGCCCTTCTAGCATGCCATCTTTGCTTTGTTTCAGTGGTTTGGAACCATTTGACATGCTATTTCAGACCTCATGATGTGCCATATGCTTGCATTTGATCCCCCTTCAATGTGTTTAAAGGTTGTTGCCTTATGCCCCTTGTTTAGGCCTTGGAGTATGCTTACATTTTTAGACCACTTAGATGCCATCTAAGTACATCCTTAGCTTTGTTTAGGTCTGCATTAGACCTATTTTAAGTCCCTTTGATCTTGTGAAGCTTGGTTGACCTAGCCTTGGTTTACCTCCCCTTTGGCTTGCCTTAAGTCTTGGACCATTATTGCATGTCTGGCTTACCTTATTTACTTGGCTTGGCACCTTTATAACATTTTTTTTTAGAGCTTTATGTGCATGCCATTAATCCATGTTTTGTCACTCAGGCATGGAAAAGATGATGCGTCAGCTCTAGGAAATTATGCAGGCCATGCAGTAGGATACTGCACAGCAAGCAGAAGTAGTGACCCAGCAGACAGAGTTAATTGCCAGGCTACAGCAACAAACCGGAGCATCTGCTTCACACCCACCTCCTCCCCCACCTAGAGTTCCAATACTCAGGGAGAACGCAAACATCCACTTATTTACTTGGCTTGGCACCTTTATAACATTTTTTTTTTAGAGCTTTATGTGCATGCCATTAATCCATGTTTTGTCACTTTTAAGTGTGCTTGAAAGTTGCATGTTTGATGCTTGAGTGTTGGCCCATTAGCATGTGCATGCGTGTGTGCGTGTGTTGGCCCTCATTTCCATAGCATTGGCCACTATTTTAGGCATGTTTGAGGGCTGCCTAAATTAGTTTAAGTCCACCCCTTGGCATGTTGTTGCATGCTTAGCTTATGACATGTTGTTGCATGTTGAAATGGTGTTGCATTTGGCAAGCATTCTCCTCCTTGTTTTGGTTGTTTAACATGCCATATGTTTTGTATGTTTGTGTGTTGGCATTGTGCCTTGTATGCTCATTTAACTTGCATGCTTGTTATATGCCTTGCATGCTTCCCATATGCTCATGTTGCATGCCTAGTTCACATGCCTAAGTTGCATTACATTAGCATGCATGCCTCACCTCTTGATCAAGCCATGATAGAGGTTGAAGGCTCCCTTGTATGTTTATGTGCATTGCATTTCATTTGAAATCAAAGTGCATACTTGGTTTCTTGGGCCATCATGCATTGAAATGCGCGATTGATGGTCCGAGATTGGAGAACCATGTCCCTTTAAGTCACAAACATGATAAGGGATGTGTTGGTGCACACATTTGCTTGAAATGCATTGCCATGCCTTGTTTTGCCCTCTGCTGCTCAAATAAGCCCCCATGTCTTACCGATGCAAGCATGGAAGTTGTGCCTTTAGAAATTATATGAGATTGGTGTAGAAAATGATAGTTTTGTACTTATTATTAGAAGAAAATACAAGAGTGGAACAAGACTCAACTCTTTTCATTTTTGACAC